ATGTGTCGTCCGCTATGCAAAAGAGCCTGCTCTGATTAGAGATGGGCCCAAACTGGATTTTCAAAGCCCTCCTCATTCCTGGGGGCTTGGGCCAGCTCATTACAGAGCCGAGGCCATCTGTGCAGTGTGTGTTCAGATCTGCACTGAGATTCCACACACACACACGCACACACACACACCTGGCCAAACGGTGGGTGAATTTCATATCTGGGGGAGGAAGGGTTGTCTAGCATTGACGGGCGTGGCCTCGTTGGTAGCCTCAGGAGAGAAGCTGAATAGGCATGGAGGCTGTGCCGCCCTCTCGCACTCGAAGGGATGTGATCCCTCCAGATAAGGCAAGAGGCACGTTGACTGGGCAGTTTGCGGGACGCCTGCCTTTCTGGGCACAGAGGACTTTACTCCCCAAAATGATTGATGAGCATAAAAGAAGGAGTCCAGAGGCAGGCAGCAATGGTATTCTCCTGACCCACGTGGCTTGAAATTATCCCAACCAGTCACCAGATGGCAGCAGACAACATAGGGTGCAACATAATCAAGTCAAGCAGCCAATGCATAGGCCCTGGCCCTGCAATGGACTTTGAACAGGCAGACCGCTGTGCTCACGTGGACCCCCACTGATGTCACGGGGACTCCACGCAGTTGCACGATCCACCTGCACCAAGCTCATGGCAGGCTCGGGTCCACAGTCCTTATCTCCGCTCTTACACCCAGGCCGTTGCAGCACAACTTCCTGGTGTAAGTGATGTCTTGCCTCTCTGCAAAATGATAACACTTCAGCAGGGTTGCCAGGCATCTGGTTTTCGACCATAACACCTGGTCGAAAAGGGACCCTGGTGGCTCCAGTTGGCTCCACCGACCAGGCCGTTACCAGTCTGGTGGGTGACGCAGTGCGGCTCCCGGAAGTGGCCGCGAGGTCCCTGTGGCCCCTAGGTGCGTGGGCGGCCAGGGAGGCTCCATACACCATCCCCGCTTGAGTGCCAGCTGCACAGCTCCCACTGGCCGGGAACCGGGACCAATGGGAGCTGCGGGGGCGGCACCTGTGGGTGCGAGGGTAGCGCACGGAGCCTCCCTGGCCGCCCATGTGCCCAGGGGCTGCAGGGACCTGGCGGCCACTTCCTGGGAGCCGCGGCAAGTGCCACTGGAACCCCTCACCCCTCCCGCACCTCAACCCCCTGCCCCGGCCCGGAGTCCCCTCCTGCACCCCAAACCCATCATCCCTGGCCCCACCCCAGAGCCTGCACCCCCAGCTGGAGCCCTCACCCACCTCCCACACCCCAACCCCCTGCCCCAGTCCTGAGCCCCCTCCTGCACCCCAAACCCCTCATCCCTGGCCCCACCCCAGAGCCTGCACCCCCAGCTGGAGCCCTCACCCACCTCCCACACCCCAACCCCCTGCCCCAGCCTGGAGTCCCCCCCCCACACCCCAACCCACTGCCCCAGTCCTGAGCCCCCTCCTGCACCCGAAACCCCCTCATCCCCGGCCCCACCCCAGAGCCTGCACCCCCAGCTGGAGCCCTCACCCACCTCCCACACCCCAACCCCCTGCCCCAGCCTGGAGTCCCCCCCCACGCCCCACGCACACCCCAACCCACTGCCCCAGTCCTGAGCCCCCTCCTGCACCCCAAACCCCCTCATCCCCGGCCCCACCCCAGAGCCTGCACCCCCAGCTGGAGCCCTCATCCACCTCCCACACCCCAACCCCCTGCCCCAGCCTGGAGTCCCCCCCCCCACGCCCCACGCATACCCCAACCCACTGCCCCAGTCCTGAGCCCCCTCCTGCACCCCAAACCCCCTCATCCCCGGCCCCACCCCAGAGCCTGCACCCCCAGCTGGAGCCCTCATCCACCTCCCACACCCCAACCCCCTGCCCCAGCCTGGAGTCCCCCCCCACGCCCCACGCACACCCCAACCCACTGCCCCAGTCCTGAGCCCCCTCCTGCACCCCAAACCCCCTCATCCCCAGCCCCACCCCAGAGCCTGCACCCCCAGCTGGAGCCCTCACCCACCTCCCACACCCCAACCCCCTGCCCCAGCCTGGAGTCCCCCCCCCACGCCCCACGCACACCCCAACCCACTGCCCCAGTCCTGAGCCCCCTCCTGCACCCCAAACCCCCTCATCCCCGGCCACACCCCAGAGCCTGCACCCCCAGCTGGAGCCCTCACCCACCTCCCACACCCCAACCCCCTGCCCCAGCCTGGAGTCCCCCCCCACACCCCATGCACACCCCAACCCACTGCCCCAGTCCTGAGCCCCCTCCTGTACCCCAAACCCCCTCATCCCCGGCCCCACCCAAGAGGCCATATCCCCAGCTGGAGCCCTCACCCCCCCGCCTGCACTCCAACCCCCTACCCCCTCCCAGAGTCCCCTCCTCCACCCAAACTCCCTCCTGGAGCCTGCACCCTGCACCTGCTCACACACCTCAACCCCCTGCCCCGGCCTGGAGCCCCCTCCTGTACCCTAAACCCTTCATCCGCGGCCCCACCCCAGAGCCCGCACCCCCAGCTGTCTTAGCTCTGTTGACTTCCACAGAGCTATGACAATCTGCACCAGCTGAGGATCTGCCCCATTGAGTGAAATCCTGACCCCACACAGACGTCAAATTCCCATTCACTTTGATAGGGCCAGGACTACTTGAATCTCAGGGAAAGAACTTCTGCTGTTTGGGTAAAATAAGACGTTGGCTTTACAAAATCTCCCCAAAGATGAGCCCCATTTGAAAAGTCCTGCCTAAGGAATGCAGTTGACTGTGTCACGATGAGCTTCTAGAGCTGAAGAATTAAACTCAGGTAAAAGCTTCTCCGGTAACCACCCGGAGATATGCTAAAAATAAGCTGAGTTTTCCCTTGTGGCCACTGAAACACCTGGGCATTTTTTTAGCTACACTCACTGACCGGCACCCTGAGTCCTTTGGCATATGGAATGTGAACAGAAAACTATTGAGAAGCGTTTGTCGGAGAAAGATGTCAGACAAGAAGTGCCTGCTGCATAATGCACAGCTTGCTGCACGCTCGTGCCTGCATTTCTCTGGCTGAGTTCCGGGGAGAAAATGGAAATTCTATTTTCCTGGCAGCCAGCTGAACACATGAAGTCTGTACTGTCACAGGGATTAGCGGCTGCGGCTGGTACAGACTTAGCAATTTACAACATCTCAGAAACCAGCTTGGTAATGAGGAGGGTGACAATAGATGTCGCTCCATTGATCAAATATTTGTAAGTGGAAGATGAAGAGTCCTAACATAAACATAAGCCGAGTCCTAACATAAACCTCTACTTTGAAAGTGCAAATAATTGCAGGTATAATTCAGACTTCTCAGGGCGGTACTTAGAATCAGATCCAACTCCCACTGACATCAGTGCAAAGACTCCCGTTGGCTTCCTTGGGAACTGGATCAACCCCTTTAACCTTCCGATGTCCCAGATTGTGGCTGCAGTTATTTACATCAGCAAAGTGCAGTTGCAAAAAAAAACCAGGTCAGGTTTTAAACATCTGCTCTGAATGCTGCATGAGCCTCTTTTTACCCGAGTAGATCTGGAGGGATTCTATATTGATGTGCTAGTGATGTAAGCAGAAGAAGCTGTAAGTTACATCCACTTAGACCCTCTCTAGATTCCCTAGCACTTACTTGGGTTTACTTAGTTTAGAATAAATGTATGGGCTCTAATCCTCTGCGATGTGAAATCAATGGCAAGACTCCTATTGTCTTCAATAGGATCAAGACCAGATCTTAAATGAAACATGACAGGAGCCTTTTAAGCAAGATAAGCTTTTAAGCAGCCTCCTGAGGATCCAGCTTCATGCACTGCGTGTGTCAGGTCAGGCATCTAAGCTGTCAGACCGGAGCACTCTGGGCAACCACAAAAAGTCCAAGTTCACACAAGCACACCCTCTGTAGCAAAGCTGCATAGCTGCCCACAGCCATAACTGTACTAGGAGTGCTTGCTCTTATGGCCAGTGGGCACCACATACGAATGGCCGTAATGAATCAGACCAATGGTCCATCTAGCCCAGTATCCTGTCTCCAACAGCAGCGAATACCAGAACTTCAGGAGACATGTACTGAACAAGGCAGCTGGAGAGATCCACCACTATGTTTCCCTTCTACGTTCTGGCAGTCAGAAGTTCAAGGTCACCCTGAGCATAGGGTTTCATCTCTGACAACCTTAGCTATTAGCCAGTGATGGACCTATCCACCATGAACGTACCTAATTCTTTTTTGAACCCACTTATACGTTTGGCCTGCACAACATCCCCTGGCAATGAGTTCCACAGGTTAATTGTGTGTTGCGTGAAGAAATACTTCCTCTTGTTTCTATTAAACCCTCTGCCCTAAATCTAGTTCCTAAAATCTTATTCTCCCCCCCCCCCCATTAGAACCAAAGGTCAACAATGAATGGGCTATTTTTTTCTCTTTTTCTGCTTAATGAAAGCAAGAATAGGGCGAGGCTAAATCGTTATCTCTTGTCTCTTCCAGACCTGGAAAGAGAAAATTAGGAGGTTGTAATGGCTTTGTTGGCTCTCTCACCAGAGTGCTCTTTTAAGGATGTGTCAAGATCTTGTAGAGAAATCTCTTTTGTTTCCAATTCCTCCTTTAGAAACTTTCCCCATGTAAAAATTGAAAAATTGACCGTAGAACTGGAGTTTGGACATGTTTTCTGTACCGTACCGTACCGGGCTGTTTAAAAAGCTGTGGATTTTCTATGGTGTGTGGGAGAGTGGGTGTTTTAATAGGCTCTATATTGAGTGTGAACTAGAGCCTCAGTTGGTATGACTCAGCACAGAAACATCCTTATGTTGAGGATCTGGCCCTAATTAAGCACAGAGCTGGGTGGTTGGTGTCAGTTTCAATAGACAACCTTTTAAAGAAGCCCTCTCCCACCCACTTATTGGGCAGTTGTTAGCATGGTCATTTTCAGATCATAAAGCAACCGATTTAAACTCAGGTTTCGGAGTAGCAGCCGTATTAGTATGTATCTGCAAAAAGAACAGGAGTACTTGTGGCACCTTAGAGACTAACAAATTTATTTGAACGTAAGCTTTCGTGAGCTACAGCTCACTTCATCGGATGCATGCAGTGGAAAATACAGTAGGGAGATTTTATATACACAGAGAGCATGAAACAATGGGTGTTTTTAATTACTTTGAAAAAAGGTTCACAGAAAACATCATTTTCTCTCGTTACAGTGTGTATGGTAACACCCATTGTTTCATGTTCTCTGTGTATATAAAACCTCCCTACTGTATTTTCCACTGCATGCGTCCAATGAAGTGAGCTGTAGCTCACGAAAGCTTATGCTCAAATAAATTTGTTAATCTGTAAGGTTCAACAAGTACTCCTGTTCTTTTTGATTTAAACTCAGTTATCATTCTTGAGCACATGATAATTGAGATGAGACGGAGCACGCCGTGGAGAGTCAGGTTATCTGGGGTCCATTTAGAACATTATCTCTGTCTCATGGCGCACAATGGAATAGGTCACCTGACCTCTCCATGGGCTAGTTTTCCCCCAGTGAAGATAAGAACAGCCATACTGGGCCACACCAATGCTACATCTAGCCCAGTGTCCTGTCTGCCATCAGGCCAATGCTGGATGCTTCAGAGGGAATGAACAGAACAGGGCAGTTATCAAGTGATTCATCCCCTGTCATCCTGGAAGGTTTAGGGACATCCAGCGCATGGGGTTGCACCCCTGAATGTCTTGGCTAAGAGCCGTTGATGTACCTATCCTCCATGAACGTATCTAGTTCTTTTCTGAACCCGGTTGTTGGCCTTCACAACATCCCCTGGCAACAGGTTCCACTGGATTGACTGTGTGTTGTGTGAAAAAGTACTTCCTGGTGTTTGTTTTAAACCTACTGTCTGTTAATGTCATTGGGTGATCCCTGGTGGTTGTGTTATGTGAAGGGGTAAATAACGCTTCCTTATTCTCTTTCTCCACACCGTCATATCTCCCCCATTAGTTTCTTTTCTAAGCTGAATAGTCCCGGTTTAGTCTCTCCTCACGTGGAAGCTGTTCCATATCCCTCATCATTTCTGTTGCCCTCTATACCTTTTCCTATTCTAATATATGTATTTGAGATGGGGCAACCAGAACTGTATACAGTATTCAAGATCCAGGGGTACGACGGATTTACACAGTGGCATTATGAGATTTTCTGTTTTTTTATCTACCCCTTTCCTAATGGTTCCTAACATTGTTTGCTTTGTTGACTGCCGCTGCACAATGAGTGGATGTTTTCAGAGAACTATCTACAATGATTCCAAGATCTATTTCTTGAGTGGATAGTGCAGGTCCATTAATTCCAAGCCCTTTGATGGAACGTGCTATTTAAAAGTGCTAAGATTTAGTCATTATTATTATTATATACATGATCAAATGGAAATTCCTTCTAGGCTTTTAGGAGTGGAAGGTTCTACCATGTGTAAGTTGTAGAGATAGTTGGAAAATGATGTTTTCTGTGAACATTTTTTCAAAGTAATTAAAAAACGCTGAGGAAAATTCTCAAGGAAATTTTCCATTTTTTAAACAAAAAAATAGAAAATGGATTATTTTCCCAAATCTGAAAAAAAATATTTGTAGGTATTAGTGCATGCAAATATTTGCCATTTATCCCTGTTTTCCCACTTCCCTTATGTACACAGCTCTTCCTTTCAGTCTCTGCTGGGAGGACAGCTCATTTCGTGGTTCTGACATTTCTGATCTCCTGCAGGAGGTCTGACATCAGAGCGAGGCTGAGGAGCAAGATCATGAAATCTTCAAAATCAATTTTGTTGTCTTTATCCTCGTCCAGGGCAGAAATGATTTCCTGGTATTTTGGTTTGCTTTCTTGGCCCTGTGGAGAATTTTAATAAAAATGTTTTTAACACAAAATTCCTTTTTTCCAGCATCTTCTTGAAAATAGCAAAACATTTATGTAAATGTTGATACATTTTCCTGCCTTTCTATCCATCCATCCATCCATCCATCCATTCAGGTTCTTATAATCATGCCTGTCATTGCAATTTCTGCATGTCTCACAGGAAATTAATACATTCTAAGGCCAGAAGGGACCACTGTGAACATCTAGTCTGGCCTCCAGGGTAACACCGGCCACAGAACTTTCCTTAATGAATTTCTGTATAAACTACAGCAGATCTTTTAGAAAAACATCCAATCTTGATATTAAAATTTCCACTGATGCAGAATCCACTACAAAACTTGAGAAGTTGTCCAGTGGTTAATTACACTTGCTGTGAATAATTTGCACCTTATTTCTAGTCTAAATTTGTCTAGCTTTTAACAACAAACCACTGGAGCTTCTTATACCTTTAAGAAAAGGAGTACTTGTGGCACCTTAGAGACTAACCAATTTATTTGAGTATAAGCTTTCGTGAGCTACAAAAAGCTCACTTCATCGGATGCATACTGTGGAAAATACAGAAGGTGTTTTTATACACACAAACCATGAAAAAATGGGTGTTTATCACTACAAAAGGTTTTCTCTCCCCCCACCTTACTCTCCTGCTGGTAATAGCTTATCTAAAGTGATCACTCTCCTTACAATGTGTATGATAATCAAGGTGGGCCATTTCCAGCACAAATCCAGGGTTTAACAAGAACGTCTGAGGAACAGGGGGGGGAGGGGGGATAATAAAACAAGGGGAAACAGGTTACTTTTTATAATGAATCAGCCATTCCCAGTCTCTAGTCAAGCCTAAATTAATTGTATCCAATTTGCAAATTAATTGCAATTCAGCAGTCTTTCATTGGAGTCTGTTTTCGAAGTTTTTTTGTTGAAGGATAGTCACTTTGAGATCAGAAATCGAGTGACCAGAGAGATTGAAGTGTTCTCTGACTGGTTTATGAATGTTATAATTCTTGACATCTGATTTGTATACCTTTGTCTGCCAGATGTACAGACCTGTATTACCAAATTTCTGTTTTCCATATAGGTACTTACAAACTATAATCAAGTCACACCGTAACCTTTTTCTTTGATAAGCTAAATAGTTGGAGCTCCATCAGTCTTTCCTGATCTCCGTGGGACCTCACTTGAAATAGACCCCCTCAGTCATTCCCCATTACAATTAAATGTTGAGGCACATCAGTTACCCAGTTTTCAATGCATTTAATGTGTCCCATGTTGACTTTGTATTATTCTAGTTCATTAATCAAAATGTTGTGTGGTACCAAGTCAAATGCCTTACAGAAAACTATGTACAGTAAAAACTGTTATCCAGCACTCTACCAAGTGGAAAGCTCTATAAACTGGCATTTTTGATCTTCAATGAAAGTCCGATTTATAGTCCCGTTGGTGCGAGGCCAGCAGGCTCCCTAACTGGCTCCATGTGGCTCCCCGCAAATGGTAACATGTCCCTGCTGCTCCTAGGTGGAGGCGTGGCTAGGCAGCTCTGCACACTGCCCCCAGCCCAAGTGCCAGCCCCGCAGCTCCCATTGGCAGGGAACCGTGCCCAATGGGAGCTGCTGGGGCAGTGCCTTCGGGAGGAGGACAGCGACAAGTCTCTGTTTGCGGGGAGCTGCCCAAGGTGAGCGCCACCTGGATCTGGCACCACGAAACCCCTCCCGCACCCCAACCCTGTGCCCCGAGCCCTCTCCCGCACCCAAACTCCCGCCCAGAGCTCATGCCCCACACTCCCTCCCGCACCCCAACCCCCAGCCCTGAGCCCCCTCCCACACCCAAACTCTCTCCCTCTTAGTTAACTGCAATTTTTTACTCGCCAGCACCCTGACTCCCGCAACATGCCAGATACCAAAGCTGTTACTGTATATTACATCAAAGCTATTACTTTTATCAACCAAACTTGTAATCCAAAGAAGATATCAACTTAGACTGATAGGGCCTATTTTTCATAAACCTGGCATTCATTATACTATTCTCCTTTAGTTCTTTATTAATCAAGTCCTGTATCAGCCTTTTCATCATTTTGGCCAGGATTGATGTCAGACTGACAAGTCTTTTTACCCTTTTTAACTATTGGCACATTCACTTTCTTCTGGTCCTCTAGGACGCCCCCATTGTCCATTGAAAAATTCATGTTAAAAGTCCAAAGAGCTCTGTGGCCAGCTCTTTTAAAAGTCTGGGATGCAAATTAACTGGATCTGCTCATTTAAACATTTCTGACTTTAGTAGCTGCTCATATTCCTGACTTACTATTTTCCATCATCATCATCATCATAGGATATGAATACATAAACTGCCTATTTCTAAATATAGGACAGAAATATTTATTGAACACTTCTGCTTCTTCTGCATTATTATTGACAATTCTACTATTTCTATCTAATGATGTACCAGCACCGTTGTTAGGATTCTTTTGTTCCTAATATACTTAAAATATTCCTTTTTTTGTCCTTAACTTTGCTGGCCAGGAGTGCTGAGGAAAATCCAATCTTTATTTCTTAAGCGTGGATAATTCATGAGTAGTGCATGTTAGAGCAGCCAATAGGCTGCTCGAAACTGTGCCCAGTGCTGGTGCCAGATGAAGAATCAAGAAGCTTTATCTGGCCCTCCAACAGCCTCCCCTCTCTTCTGCACCCAATGGAAGCTGTGTGCATCATGGAATCCGGCCCTATGTATTTAGAACCCATATGAAATAATATATTCTTCCCTTATTTCAACCTCCACTGAGTTCCTTTCCTCCTCTCATACTGTGTTTTTATTCCAGACAGAGCTAGCAAGGTTGGGATGACAAGATCCCCTGTAGAGCTGTCAGTAACACTCTCAAAAAGAGGTGCTGATAACATGGTGCTTTCAGCTCTCTGTCTCCTGGAGAGATCATTTATGCCTCTGCAATTTATCTGGTGTCAGCTGCTCTGGGGGTCTAAGTCTGATTCTCATGTCAGGTGTTTATGATGTAATGGCAGATGCAGCATTAAACGTGTGTGCATTTCTTCCTGCCACAAATACCCAGTATCCAGTCTTTGTCTGAGCCCTTGTAATTGTGCTACATTCCAGATGGAAATGCAGGCAGATACTTTAACCATGGTTTTTCAATTTCTTGCCCTGTGTTGCATACGGAGGTGGCCAAGAATACAGACAAGGAATCCATCAACAATGTATTTACATAGTCATTAAAATCTCACTGGAGATTTGCAAGGCGACAATATGCACGTTGTATCTGCAGCCTCCAAAATGCCTTCCCACGCTGAGGAATAATTTGTTTGGTCGTTAGGTGAAAGGCAGACACGGGGCAAAGGGTTCGCCCGGAAAGGAGATTGGAAGTTGGATAGTTCAGTTTGTCCAATGCATGTTTCATGCTTCCAAGTATGCAAGTCGGCTGCGATTGCGCAAACGGTGCACAATGAAAACATCTTGACCGGCAATGACAAAAGGGGCTGACCTGTCCTAGAGGTGAACTTGCACAGGGCTGGGCTCTGGACACCCGCTCGACATGCTTTTCTTACCTGTATGAAATTCATAAACTGAGTTTGCAGCAGGGTTTTGGTTTCAGCTTTGCTGAGTTTGCCATCGGGGTCAGCAGAGTTGTTGTAAACCAAGGCCGCGGTAGCAAATGCTTTCTCCAGGTCTGAGCCTTTCCCGAGAGCTATGGGAAGAAGACGACACATACAAAGGTTTGCAATATTATTGAAAATGTTGTGCTAGAAACAGCCCTAGTGTCAGAAATGAGAGCCTGCAGCGGTGCCTGCCCAATCACAAGTGCCGCTGGGCCACAGCTGAACAGTGCTCACCTCTGTAGATTCTCTGCCTTCCTGTGCTTGCCTGACTCCAAGCTCTGCTTCTGCCCTGCACCCAGCCGTGTTCCACTCCTGTCCCAGCCTTGCTCCTGCCTTCCCTGACTCCCGGTAATCTGGCTCTGACCCTCGCCTCTGATTCCTGGCTCCAGCTCTGTCTCAACTCTGGGCTCTGGCATTTGGACTGACTCTGGCCCTGGTTCCTGGTTCTCACCAGCAGGCCTGATTCCGGCTCTGAATTGGTCTCCTGACCCTCAGCTGGTGTAAATCAGTGTAGCTCCATGAAAGTAATAAACCTCTGACAATTTGTACCACCTGAGGATCTGGCCCAGAATTTATTACAAGCGAGGTACCAACATGCACTATGCCCTGCCAAAATTTCAATGCACCCTACCACTAAGATTTTATGCTATGAATAAATATAAAACAAAAGCACTAACAAAAAGTGAGCCAGGTATAACCAGTGCTGTGGGTCTAGGTCACTGGGTCTGTTAGTTCAAAAACTGTGGCAGACTTAAACGTGGTCCAGCCACTGGCGGGGGTGGGATGGGGGGACACAGAGAGCCACTCAGTGTAGCGGGGTTACACAGGCATAGCACTAAATATGTAGGGCTGGATTCTCTTATGTTATACCTAGGGCCAGTGACAATTTTTCCAATGAAACTGTTTTTTGATGGAAAATTGAGTTTTTGACCAAACAGAATTTTCCGTGGAAGGTGTCTGCTTTCTGCAGGAAATCTTGATTTTTTTCCATTGAAGAACTAAATATCTTTTGACTAAAAATGTAAATATTATGATTCTGAAATGCTGCTATGATGCCTCATGGAAGTTGTGGTCAGGTGCCTTTTGCTCCCTGTCTCCTCTATGGGGCATGCTCCTCAGTTGGACTTCATCTCCCAGGATGCACTGTAGCCATGCGACAGCCACAATGTACCGCCTCCCTTCCCCAATGTGGGGCATCATGGGAGATGTAGTCTGAGGAGGGATCCCAGTCTCCAGAGGAGAATGGGCGCATGAGGTGCCCAAACTGCAACTCCAGTGAGGCCCCAGGGTGGCATCTCAGAATTGAAATATTTGGTCTTAGCCAAAATATTTTGACAGAGGATTTTTCACCAAAAACTCAAAATTCATCATGGCAAAAAGCCCATTTTATGACCTGTCGTTTCCCACCTGCCCCTCACTCTGCCCTCCCGTCTGGGTTTTGTCCCAGTTCTGCAGAACAGGGACTAGCTCTTCCGGTGAGTCTGTGCAAAGCACGTTGTAGATGCCACTATAATACAGACGTACAGGCAGGGTGAAATTCACCCCTGCGCCGAGAGCCTGGGCTTCACATACACTCTCCTTGTAAAACTTAAGTGGTGCCGGGGTCTGAGCTGGCCCCCTACCCTGGGGAAAATGCTGCCCACTGCTGGGCAGTATTGTCTAGGGACGGGCAGAGAATGGAAACATTCAGGCAGAGGAGGTGTAACTTCTAAGCATGGGGTAAATCCTGGGAACTACTGAGTGTATTCAACTCCCAGCTAGATCAACGGGCTAAATCCCAAAGACCTGGGTCCACCTTGAGGGCCCGATCATGCCCCAGAGATGTGGGCAGACCTTGGCTCCCCATTTCTAAAGTAGAGCCCGTGACCTCAAGAGGCAGCAGCTCTGCTTCTCCTGTCCCCTGAGGTGGGCTCCCTATAGGTTTGCAGGAGGGAAGGGGCAAGCCGGAGGCAGGACAAGGTGCGAGATGCAGTCGTCCCCCGCCCCATGTTCCCTGAGCCTGGGCAGATCCCCCCTGGAAGCATAACACAGTCTGGGGCTAATTACATTTCCATGCCCCCATCACTCTGCAATGGAGATCCCTCTAAAAGGGGCGTCCCGTTCTGCTGTCCGCAAAAGCCCCAGCAGTGAAGGGCAGAGGACTCACTCACAACTCTTCCAATTCTATTTGCCATTGGCTGTGGCCTGAGCAGTGGGATTTTGGGGTCGCCACTAAATTTCCATTATTTCCTGCTGTTGATGTTTTTTGTCTTGAAAATCAGAACCCAAAAGGATTAAGGAACCATGTGGAGTCGGTCTCCTTACCTTTCACAGAAGCCAGCTGCTTGGATATAGGTAGGCTGGTAACAAGAGGGAAGAAATGCTGTTACACTGGTGAACCTTGTGTGACTAGTTCCTTCATAAACTAACTGACTCATTTCTACTCATTTTATTCCATTCCACAGACTGTATCATAGGGCTCCTCAAAGAGGAATGAGTTTCCTCCATAGTGGAAAGATCAATATTCTTACAAACTACTATCACAAAATAATCCAACAACAATGGACTTTTTCTGATTCTCAGACTCAGCTTCTGGCCCATCATTTGTATGAAATATGAAATAAGTGGAACAAACTGTAACACAGTGGCTCTCCACTTTTTCAGACGACTGTACCCTTTCAGGAGTCTGATTTGTCTTGCGTATCCCCAAGTTCCACCTGACTTAAAACCAACCTGCTTACAAAATCAGACATAAAAATACAAAAGTGCCACAGCCCACTAGTGCTGAAAAATTGCTTATTCTCCTTTTTACCATATCATTATAAAATACATCAAGTGGAATATAAGCATTGTACTTAGATTTCAGTGTATAGAGAGCAGTATAAACAAGTCATTGTCTGTATGAAATTTTAGTTTGTACTGACTTCGCTAGTGCTTTGTAGATAGCCCTGTGTAAAACTAGGCAAATCTCTAGAGGAGTTGATGGACCCGGTGGAAGACCTCTGCGTACCCCCGGGGGACACGTACCCTGGTTGAGAACCACTGGATGCTCATTTTCATTTTCAAAGCATGAAAGTACGACAGCAATTGTAAGTGTTCAGACTTGGTTTGGAGTGCACCCTGGAGAAATACAGCAGGTCTATGCACTTTCCACTCTGTACCATTCCCACTTCTGGAGCGCAGCATATGTGGTTTTTATTTTTACCAGAAGTCATTTTGGTGAGAAGGGCTCTTCCTACGTTCTATTAAAATTTAAAGCATGATTACTTTCGCTAAAGTGCTGGAAACTAATTATAGATGAGCCATCATGCTGTGGAATCCATCTCTTGTGATGGATATAGACAAATCTGTCTGCATAATGAACTTTAAGACAAATGTCAGATTGTTAAAGAACAAAATTTTCACTTACCGTTTGGGCATGTTTGCGGTAGCTGAAGTTGTTTTTTGGGTGGGAGCAGCACCGGTTTGATTTATGGAATATAGTTTTGAGTTCTGAGTGCTAGGAGTACAGCCACACATCCTTCACAATAGCCTTGTTGTTTATGATCTCTAAGCAACTCAAGTAATTGCAAACAGATGAATTCAAACTCCCTGCTGTGAAAGGGAAAGAGCACACAGCCTGGCTTCAGCATGCCCCATCAATAATGTAAATGCCACTTGGTGAAGCTAGCTAAATAAATCAGTCTGGAGCAGCCTGTTTGAGACAATGGAGAGGTATCGGAAAGTAGAAGTTGCTGTTTATTTTATATAAGACTAAGAGGAAGTGAACTGGATTCAATGGGGGCCTGAACCATGGGAATCTTCCCATTGACTTTAAAGGCCTTTGATGTACTCTTTTGGTACTGACTACATCAGTATGAACTACATACCTTTTAGTTTGCGCCAGCAGGCTCTATATGGGGGAGTTAGAGCGCTCTGTAATTCATAACCCCCGTAGATCAGTCTGCAGCACTGTGTAGACAAGCCGTAAATGTTCAATGCCAGGCTTCAATTAGACCAGCTTAGCAGGAGTTAAACTATACTGCTTTGTCTACACTGGAGATTTATCGTGTGTTAGCTAACATCTTGTAATAACATACTTTTAAATCCTAATCAAGACAAGGCCACAGACTTTTTTGCAGCAGGTCTAATGTAAAGGTGCCTTTAGAACACTTGTGGCAAATTTGTGTGTAGACGCTTGTCATGCCAAGGACTAGTCATGCTGTTCAGCGCACACACACTCTCCAGGAATGATCAGGCTCTGAGCTCTCCTCCTTCTTCAGGAAAAAGTTTCAAAGTGAGCTGAAACTAACTGAGCAACAAGCTCTCCTGAGCTATCCTGCATGACAGACACCATGTCAGTGGTCACTGTGCTAGCATGAAAAGGAACGAACTTGGCAGTTGTAAGCACACCTACCATCTACTCAACCTCCTTTTGACATCCTGAGTCCAGGTTTGATGGCATCGATTTACCACAAAGTGGTCCCTTCTCACATACGTGCCACTGAAACTTGTCCCTGAAGTCCTCTTGTTCTCCAGAATAAATGGCACCAGACTGGTTTAGCCTTTTAAAGTAACAGTATTCATGTGAATGCAGTGCTTTGTGTTCTCAAGGTGCTGGGCAAACGTTAACTGGTCAACACTAACAACACCTGCGAGGCAAGTAAGCAGGAATCGTGGGCTTGATTCTCTGCTGCCCGCAGCAGACCCTGAGCTCAGCACACAGCAGGACCACCAACATGGAACCAGTTCTGACGTCTGGATTCTCTGGCCCAGCGCAGGTGAGAGCATCCTGGGGGCTGCTCCAACTTGTGCCAGCTGACAACAGTATCTAAGGGAGCGTGCACCCCCTGAACACAGCTGGAGGGCAGCAGGTTCCAGCCACGCCTCCTCCCCATTTCCTGGCATGCCCCCTGTGGTAGAGGCTGTGAGACAAGTGGAGTAGATGCTGTTAATTCTCCATCTGTGCCCACTAGGGTCTCCCCCACACTAAGGGCACCCCCAGCAGGGGAATTAGGGCCAGATTCTGTCCCTTTGTGTACAGGAGACAGAAGAGGTCAGAGTACCTCTTTCATTACCTCCATTTCCCAAACAAGGAAACAAAGCCACAGCACTGGGTCAGCTGCACTTCGTGTGGACACTGGATAATTTTCCTAGTGTGGACAAGGCTGGGGAGGTTAAGTAACTTTTCCAAGGCCACACAGTGAGTCATTGTCATACACGGGATTAGACCACCTCCTAGGCCAGTGGTTGTACCCTAGAGCATGCGGCCTTTCTAATAATTTTTTCCACACTGTGGTAGGAGGAGGTGTTCTGTCTTTTCTTAGGCTTCTTGCAAAATAGCATCTAAGAGTAATCCTGTGTTTCATTTAGACTGTAGCGGATGGTCTCCGCTTCCAAAAAATCACAGAGCCACATGACAGCTCAATCCCCACTCTCAGAACGCCTCTTAACTCCGTTATGTCTCAGCATGACTGCTGATATTTGAAAATACACTGGCACACATTGCACATTTCTTGTCAAAGTTCTCCAAAAATTGCTTTGAGCATGGCTCTGTCTGCTTTACCTATGAGCCTATAGGCTTATACCTGAAAGTCCTATAGGTCCTTCCCCCTCTAAGATTGGACAGTGAATAGGATGGCTTCAACAATTTCCAACTCACTTTTCCTGCTAAGGGGTAAAATACCAATGACAAAACTACCCAGAATGAGACTTTATGGAACAGGACAGTCAAAGGAGACTGCAACAGATGGCCGAGAGAATTAAAATGTTTTCCTCATTCAGAAGAAACTAAATTACTGAAGCATAATGACTAAGGATGTTCACCACCTTACTGTTCTTGGATTTTAAGTATCTTAAAAAGCCTGGGAAAAGAGAACCCCTAATTTTCCATCTAAGAGTGTCATTACTCAGACAACTCTGAGCCTCTTTTGAAAGGTTTAAGCTGTCTTACCTCTCCAGTGCATTCTTCGGGATTGGCTCATGAATAAAACAGAGCCATAATTGCAGTGACGCAGCCAAAACACATATAATCAATGCTCATTATCCCATCAATTAACACACTAAAATTAAACAAGAGTTAGGGTTTAGTAATCTGCCATCAGTTAAAAAACAAAACAAAAAAGCAAAACACCTTTCTCGTGGTGAAGCAATAATTCGCTTTTTCATCTCTAGGACCATAAAACAAGGCATCAAATGTTTTACAGCTTGGTTAATGTGCAAGAAGTTAAGAACATTTTGGTCTTAGAGTCCAGGGCAAAAATATGGATCGAAACGGGAAACTTGATGCGCGTATCTCAGCTGCAACAAGCGTCTGGAGAGCAAAGGCAGCCCTCCGCATGCTTGCTTTTTGTAATCTGTAGATTTGACTCTGCATATCTCGAGGATCCTCATTTGTATTACCTTGGCTCCCCAGTCCTCAGGATGATCTGAACTCCGGCAGTGACAGTGAGTAACTTCCCTGTTGGGTGAGAAATGAGTTGAAACAGACATGGGATACGTTATCCGGGATACATTATCCAGGTAGAATGTATCAACAAGCATTGGCAACCCGAGTTGAAGTGGGATATAAAGGGCGAGCCCCTGCCTGGAGGTGAATTTCACCCCAAATGTGCAACAGCAGACCCCCCAGAACACAACTCCGATATGCACCACTTCTTGCTACTCATTCCCTGACCTGTATGGCTTCAAGACAGGTTTTTCACAACCTCTACTTGTCATCTTTGCACATGCTAATGGACTGTTCCCATATGCTGGTCATCCACGGACATGTGCTCCCAATGTACCCAGCGCAAACCAGACCCCATGCAAACCAAAAAAAAAAAGAAAGCATGTAGACAGAGATGACTGGTTCATTCCCACAGTAACTCCTGTGATTCTCCTGCTACCTCTCCTGCTTACTCACCTTCCTCTGCCTCAGAGCAAGGAGGGCCCACGTGTGCAGTGTCAAAACACTGCTTGCTACGTCCCCGGTGCCCCAAACCCTAGACTGATTCACCCACTGATCTCTGTTTGCCCCCATATTCACAGCTCCTCTCAAATTCAGGTAAAGTGTGTGTGTGGGGGGAGGGTGTGCACCCAACCACAGCGGCTGCCTCATTTGGCCTGGGAGGGCTGGCCTAGCAGTTAATGGAGGGCTTCTCCACCCCCTGACATAGGCCAGTCAATGCCACACTGGCTTGCACGTGACCAAATCGGCCCTGTATCACTCTGACAATGGATGGTGTGCCACCAACCTCTGAGCTCACCTTCCCCACCATTTTGGCCCATCTCTTCTACCATGCTGTCTCTAGAGGTAGCCAATGCTGGTCAAAGGAAGATGAAAAATCTCTATAATGTAGCAGCCATGCCATGTTGTATTTGGGTGAAAAATCCATGCCTGCATGCTGCAAGCAATCAATTCATACTCTGCAGCATGAGATTTAATTACTCTTAGCTTGCACAGAGTAGCTGCAAATGTTGTTAGGGCTCATGGCACTTTCCACCTCTATTTAAAATTCAGCCAGAAGTAGTTGACATTTTGTAAACACATAATTGAAATACACAGATAAACAACTGAAAGAGGGCAACTCTGTGACCCGGGCATGAACTAACAGGTTTCTTCCATCTATCATGTCTGTGATTCTGTGTTAAGGATATATATGCAAACTTAAATATTAAAGAGAAAACACATCTTTTTTAAATGATCAGATTTCACAATATTAAGCAACTTTCTGTCGAAGTATTTTGTTCAGGCTTTAAACCCAGATACACACACACACACACATACGGCACGTAAGAATATACTTGTGTATATATACACATTATTCTGTTTTACACAGCTATCTTGATTTCTAGCTATACTGTAATGTGCAAATCATTCATTATTATTGACTGGACAAGTTTTAGCAGATTTCACATGCCCACAATAATGCACACACAAACACATGACTGCATAAATTATTCATGCAATCATTTAAATTAATTGCAGCTGCAAAAGACCAGGCTATGAAGTTTCTTCTTGGCATTCTCCCAGAGGTGTTTCCTTTTTTATACACTAAAGAATTCCGAATCTTCATGTTGGTCTACATTTCTAATACAATATGTACCATGTCATGAGAGTCCTGAATTCTATGGCGTTGAACTCAACAATACCTATAAACATGCATGGGCTTGCCCAGGTTTGGGAGGGAGTATGTTTTGAGTAAAGACTAACAGCTTAGTAGATATCATTACAGCTACCACTAAAATTTAAAGCCCAAACAAGAATAATGGATTTGGCAGGGCTTCCCTTTTCCTAATGCCTTCAGACTTTCTAGCCCTGACATCTCTTCAATCAAAACATAGTTGTGTAGTCTTATGGGAGCAGAAATGCTGCTAAATTGCAGCCAAGAAGGTAATATATTAGGTTTTTTTTGGTAAGGGGAATTTCATTCTCATTGGGATCTTATCTTCATATGAACGAATGAATTCTATTAGTATGGATTATTATAAAATGTACCATTGTTAAGAGTAGTTTGATTTTAATAATAATTGTTGTGGCTATTTAAAATAATCTTCCTTTCACTACTAAAATAAATACAGGAT